TTTTAGATGCTGCTATTGCTATAGTTATCTGCTTAAGGGTAATGCTAAGGGTTAAAGGTAAAGAGAAAGGACCTAAAGGGGTTAGTCCTAAGTTTACTCGCCAAGACTCACATCTTGTGCCTACGTATCCGAGGTAGGGGATGAAATCAGAGTAATCGTAGTTCCCCTCGAAAGGGAGGATGAGGAACTTCTTAACTGTGGTCAAGGTTCCATGGGGGAAGTAAACGTTCATAGGGAAGCGTTTACATAGGAGTGCGACGACTCCGATCTCTACGTTGTAAAATTGAGAGAGTGTGAGATAAGTATTCCACGGCGGGAAACTTATATGGAGTACGGCGACTCCTAATCCTAAGGCTAGGATAAAAGGGATGGATGTCCACGGAGGGACACCTAAGCATGAGTACGGCGACTCAAAGTTTTAAGGTTTAAGGAAATGGTAAAGGTATGGGTTGTGGACTCGGCGGTCAAAAGGTTAACCTTCCCTTCGGTGGGGAATAACGGTAAAATAAAGCGGAAATAAATTAAAAATGTAAATGACATACCGATGATGATAATATAAATAAGTAGGTAGCATGAGATATTGAAATGGATAGTCAAGTTAGGAATGGATTATGGAATGTGAGTTATGGAAATGGTGAGATATGGATGAATTGTTTTTGATTTAGTTGACTTAGAAGTTAAAAGTTGAAATTAAAGATTTTTGAGAATTTTATGGCTAAGTTGAAAATACACTTTAAATTAATTTGCAAATTTTTAAGATTTTATTTATTTTATGGTTTTTGTGAGTTATGTAATTAATTGATAAGTTAAATAAAGTGTTAATTTAAAAATTAATCTAAAAAAGATTGTTATTTTTAAGGAAAGAGATTAATTGGCAAATATTAAATAAATTCTAAAAAAATTCTAGTTTTACCCAGAAGTCAAATTAATTAGTTAGTTAGAAATTTGAAAAAAAGTTTTTATATATTTCTTTTGGATTTTTAACCTCTATTAAAAAAGTGAAATTAACTCAATAAAATTAGATCTACGGTTTCTTATTTTTATTTTTGCTTAAAAGTAAGAAAATTACTCAAGACTAAATTGGATTGAAGATTTTTTTGTTATGAATTTTATTCTTATTATAAAACTTAAATTAAGATCTAAAATCATTATTAATATCTTTTTATATAAAGTTCGTTTTATTTTATTTATAGATTTTTATTATTCTTGATGACTAAAAGAAAATAGGAGAATTATTTAAAAAACTTAAATATAGATTATCTAAAACCAAATATTAAGAACAAATAGATTTAAAAGTTTTTTTTTTATTTTGTTTTTTTTTAGATCCGACTAAAATATATTTTTGTTTTTAACTATTAAAAGAAGAAATCAAATATAAATCTAAGTATTTTTATTTTTATTTGTTTATTATAAGAAAAAAAAAAACTAAATCTAAATTAATAGTTTAATTATTATTTTTTAATAAAAATTTCGTTTTTTATTATTACTAGATTAAATTATTCAGATTTTTAAATAAAATTAGTGGTCAATGTTAGTGGTTAGTTATTGTTAGTAGTTAGTTTTCTTTTATTATTATTAATAATTAATTACAATAATACAACAGAAAATTAAAGAAAAAAAAATATAAAACCAATAAAAAAATGGGTCGGGCTGAAAATTTAGGGTTTGAAACCCTTATTTTCTCTGGCCGGCGGCGGCCCCTCTTTGGGGGTGATATTACTACGTTTTCTTTTCATTTTTTCCTTTTTCTTCTCCTTCTGTTCCATTTTCCTGTAAAAAAAACAGGCATAAAAGTTAAAACGATGACGAGTCTTACAAATTTGTTTCGTTCCGGATGATTTTGTGATGCTTTTCCGCGGATTTGGTTGTGGTTACTTCACTGGTTTTTTTGAAGTGCTTCTGATAATTTTTTTTTTAGCTTTTTGTTGGTGATACAGTGATGATTTCTGTTTTGAGTTGGTGGGTTTCTTCTGAATTTGGACAATGAATTTCGGATAATATTTTTCAGATTTTCGGTTTGAGGTTATGATGAAATTTTTCTGAAACTCTTTTGGTGCTTCGGATCTATTTGTGTTTTCGCTTATATTTTTTTTTTGGGTCCTCCTACTTCTGCTCTTCACTTCTACTTATAATAATTTTTTTTTGAACATGGCTTTGAAGGCTTTAAATCATTTTCCTTTTTGGAGAAAACATGTTTTTCTAATTAGTTCTAATGATGGTGATATTCTGCCGTTTTGGATTTTGCATATTGATGAAATTTGTTTACCATTTTCGGAACTTTTGGATTATTGATGGTGATAATTGTTGTTTGATTTTTTTTATTCCCTTTAAGGCCATATTTGGACCCAAACTTACCCCCTTTTTTTTTAAAACTCTTATAGTTTAGGCATTTTAGAAACTATAGGAAATTTTATTGTAATTTACTTTTGTAATTTTATTTATTTATTTTTATATTGTAAAAAAAAGACTATTATTTTTAATCTATAATAAAAATTTGTTTTTATATTGTTATTATTTTTTTATATTATAATGAAACAACAAAAAAATATTATTATTGATAAAAAAAATGATAAAATAAACTATTGATATTAAAATTCAAAAACATAAAAAAATTTGATGTAAAAATGAAATAATCATAATGAAAATCATGAAATAAACCTAACAATTTTTTTTTATATTAAAATGACATAATCATAATAATAATTTTTTATTTTAAAATAAACATAATAAAAAAACATTTTTTATATTAAAATGACAATCGTAATAATAATTTTTGCTTTTAAAATAACATAACACAAATTGGTATTAAAAAAACATTTTTATTAAAATGAAATGAAACAATTTTTTTATTAGTAGTGAAATGAAACAACAATTTTTGGTGTTACTAATCTAAAATTAACTTATTATTTTTTTTATATAATAAAATTATTCCATTTAGATTAAATGAAATAATATTATCATCATTATTTTTCTTTTGATATAAAATGAAATGAAGACCCAATATTAAAAATAAAATAGAATCAATTTAACAATGAAATGAGAACAAAAATTTAAAGATGAAATAAAATTAAATTTAGAACTAAAATGAAAACAAAATTAAAAGATGAAATAAAATTGAATTTAGAACTGAAATGAAAACAAAATTAAAAGATGAAATAAAATTGATTTAAAAACGCAATTAATTTAATAAATGACATAAGATTGATTTAGAAATGAAATGAAATTGAAAAAAAAATGAAAACAAAATTATAAAAATGAAATCAAAATTATTTTTGTTATTTTTTATTTTTAAAATGAGATAAAAACACTAATAAAACTCTATTTTTTTCATTAATTCAAACTTCATTCAATTTATCCGATTAACCTTGTCTCCGATGTAACTTCCGACAAATTCTTCCGGTGATTTAAACGAAACTTTATCAGAAAAATCCAACCTGTCGATTAAACTCAAATGAACATATTTTTCCAACTGTCTTCATCAACAAATGAAATGAACCGATTTAATTCCACTGGCTCAAACCCTTCCACAATTAAAATTTCCAATTAACCCCCGGCCTTCTCATCAACGGGCTTGAACGACTCAAATTCCCTGACTACAACTCATATCCATAAATTGACAGCCGACTGCGAAGAAATGACCATTTTGCCCTCCATATGCTAAAGAGCGCGCCACATGATTATTTCCTGTAAAAACCAACCAACTACACAACTTGTTAGTGACTGGTTAAGTGCAATACAAAAATGCAATGGAATGTGAGATGATTCGACTAACCTTAGGGAAAAATTTGGGGTACAACACCTAATTCAATTACCTATAGACATTGCAATGCAAAATTGTTTCATCATGAATCACGTGATACGTGTTGTACTGGTGGAAAGGTATCATTTTCATGAGTTAATGCTCCTATAGAATTGCAACAATCATTTTTAGCCAGTTCAACAGAAGGAAGGCATTTTAGGCAACATATTCGAAGTTACAACCATGTGCTCTCATTCACTTCAATTGATGTTCATGTTGATGAGAATATTCTTGTATCTGGTCGTGGTATATATACATTTTGTGTTCAAGGTGCTTTTTACCATAACATAGGAGGTTTCTATCAATTTAATTCTTTTTTAATTTAGGTTCAAGCAACTGTCACAACTTCCAAATATCGGTGAATGTAGCCTCATACTTAAAAAGTGTCCAAGTAATCACCATCAATATAATCTTCCAACTGCAGAACAAGTTGCGACAATCATTGTTGGAGGAGATTCATATTCTATGGAATATGGAAGAGATATTAATGTCATTCATCATGATGGAAGTCTAAATAAATTTCAAGAGACAAAGAGATATTATGATCCCTTGAAGTATCCTATATTGTTCCCATTTGAGATACACAGTTGGAACGTTAACACAATAAATTGTAATGAACGAAGATTGTCATGTCGAGCATATTACAATTACATGCTTCAGGTAAATTTAGATTAATTTTAGTAAATAGTATACTTAGATGAGCGTAGTTTAAAACACATTACTTTTAACGCTGACATGTTTTTCAATAAATTGTAGATTCGCCCAAATGATCAATCAATATTGTTAAATGCGGGTTGAATATTGCAATAATATGTTGTAGAAAATTATGTCAAAATTGAATCGGGGAGGTTAAGGTGGATTAGAGAGCACCAACGTGATATGCGTGCTGAAGTGTACCAAGGTTTACAAGATGCTTTGCATGTTGGTGAAACTAATGCAAGTACTAAATAATGTAGCATAAATATATATTTTTATATTACTAATTAGTTGTACTTATAATGATAATCTTTCATGTATTCTAAAACTAATATATTTCATGAATCACCATATAAAACATTGGAAAAATAACAATTTTGGCATCATCATTTATTAGAGGCCGTCGAGACTGACACAATGATATGAAGATGGCATGGCTATTGTTCTTAATTACATTAAACCATATATTTTTCTGATAATGACATGCAATCCTTATTCGAGTGAGATGACATTAGAACTTTTTCCTTTTCAAACACCACAAGATTGTCCAGATTTGATAACAAGAATATTTTGTTCGAAATTCAAGCAATTAAAGGATGATGTTATTAATAAAGGAGTCTTAGGAAAGGTTAAAAGCTACATGTATATGTTTGCATACAGCTTTCGCGCGAATAACCTCTGACCTCCTAACGCAGGTTTACTTGCGGGACCGACCAAACAAGTCCCATAATGTATCTGGTTGAGTATATGAGATGGTGGTATAATGGTGTTGTTTAGAATAAGTTGAAGACAAACGTGAGTAAAAACTGTGTAGACTTAAATAACGATAAGTGACTAAACAAGAAAAAGACAGAAACAAAAGGCAAGAAATCTTTAAAGTTGGTAATGTAAATTGCTTTTAAAAGGAAATGTGGACGCGGTCATAAATTTTACAGGAATAAAAGTCTTTTCTCTTAACGCTTGGTACACAGAGTGTTTTTCCCTTACAATGTTACAAAATGCGTCATTTTAAAATGAACACGGGCATGACCTTAAATAGGAAAATAAAATAACTGCTATGTTGATCTTGGTGGCGCCACGTGTCCTTCCACCACTTATGTAACTTCCCACGTTCTCAACTTTCAAATTTTCTTTTCGCTTAAACATTCTTATACTTCGTGTCGGCTTCCTCACCCATTAGTCGACATCTTCGACGAAAAAGGCCTGAGTCAGCCCACAAAACTTTCTTTGCTGGCGTCAATTCACATCGTTTCCTTCACCACCTTTCCCAGCCTGTCAACCCATAAGTCAGTCTCTGTGTTGCCTTTCCTTAGTCGAAACTTCTAGCCAACAATATGTCACTGAATTTCAAAAACAAGAATTGTCGCATGTGCATATGTTGTTGATCTTAGAAAGTAATGACAAACTGCGTAACCTAGAAGAATATGATAGTGTGGTAAGAGCAGAAATACCTAAATTAGAATGTGAACCACAGTTGCATGAAGCGGTTCTAAAACATATGATCCATGAACCTTGCGGCGTTATCAACCAGAAGTCACCATGTATGAAAGACGAAGATTGTAAAAAAAGATATCCAAAACAATTATTGGATAAAACACGTCAAGACACTGACTCATATCGTGAGTATAAGAGAAGGTTTGATGAGCCTATATCGTTAGGTAGAGGTAGGTTTGTCGACAATAAATGGGTGGTTCCTTATAACCCTTGGTTACTGTTAAAGTATGACTGTCACATCAATGTAGAGATTTGCAGTAGCATTAAAAGTATCAAGTATCTATACAAATAAGTGTACAAAGGCCCTGATCGTGTGGCTATGGAGGTTCACAAAGAATCATACATGGATGAAGTTTAACAATATGTTGATGCAAGATGGATTTGTTCTCCCGAGGCATTATGGAAAATATTTCGCTTCACTCTTTATTGATTATATCCTTCTATTGAAAGATTACAGATCCACCTGCCGAACCGCCATCAAGTGCGCTTTTATGGTCATCAACGAATTGTGGATTTGTTAAATAATGAATGCAATTCAAAAACAATGCTCACACAATTCTTTGCTTTAAATCTAAGAGATCCAGAAGAAAGAAATTATCTGTATAGAGAGATTCCAGAGCATTATTGTTGGAATAATATGGACAAGGAATGACATCGCAGACGATCACCAAAAAAAGTTATCAGGAGAATCTGTACGGTATCACCTTCGGAGGGATACAAGTTTTACTTGCGAGTATTGTTATCTCATGTCAGAGGTTCAACTAGTTGGGAAAATCTTCTTATAAATAATGACACTCCTTTTAGTACATTAAAAAAATCAGACGAGAATAGAAGATTTCTAGAAACTGAACATAATATTCATGATTGTTTGGTTGAGGCTGCAAGTCTCCGAATGCCATATTTTTAAAATAATAAAAGCACTAATATATAGTTAATTCACTAAAGTATTTTTAGTATATATAGATTTATCATCATGATTTTAAAACTACTTGAAGATATCTAAAAACATTATTTTTAATCCCAAATATGATAAAAGTTTCATACAAAATATACACACTTTTATTTTTCTTATAGAATGATAATAATAATAATAATAATAATAATAATAATAATAATAATAAAATAAAAATAATAGTATCTAAGATATTTACTTGTTCATATTTAAGAAATAAATAATGTGCATAAAAATTAAAGTGATAATTAAGATAAAGAGGGTTTAATGTCAAGAAGAATTAAAAAAAAAACATTTTAATATGACTTAACATTAAAACTCATTAAACTAAAGTCACCAAACCTCCAAGAGCACTAAACATAAGATTAAAAAATGAGTTTAAGTGTATTAAATCAGATTATTTTATGTCTTCATTCATTACGTCATTATCATTACTAACTCCCAAATACCATTTCTTTCAAGTAATCACAAACATTGTCGCCATCGGATTCTCCACGTCATCGTCCCTATCACATTTTTCATGCACCTACAACACCAGATCCCACATCTCCATCATCAGTTACAACCATCCAACCGTTCATATCAAAACGTGACTCTCACTCCCTATAAAGCGCGCGTGATAAGAATTAGTTTCAGAAAAACACACTCTTCCTCTCACTCCTTTATCTAGAAAGCATCACGCTGAACTCAAAACACTATTCCCTCGAAACATAGAGAGAGAAAAAAAAGTGTATGAGTGTTTGTGTTTAGAGAGAGAATCTAGAGAGAGAATCTAGAGGGAGAAAGAAAAAGAGTGTGAGAGTGTTTTGTGTGTAACTTCTCTGACATGGCCTCCATGCCGTTGGGGCCGCACCACCATCAGCCACTGCAACCACCGTCACTACCGTTACCGTTACCGTTACCTCCGTCGCAGTTACAAGAGGCGAAAACCGTGAATGAAGCACCGAAAACGACGGCGGTTAGTGGAGTTTCCGGTATGGATACTGATAAGGTAAATTTTCGTTTCTCATTGTAGTTAGTTACTGTGCCGTTTTCAACTACAGTCACTGTTTCTTGGATCGTCGTTGATAGACTGTGCAAACCTCCGTTTGAGCTTCCTCACCGGCGATCTGCTAATTTATGTTACTTCCGAGGCTTGACTATGTTCGCCGGTTTTGTTCTCCGGTGAAGATCACGGTGACCTAGAATAGTAATGATGGTTTCTTCTTCTTAAAGGAATAGTGTAATTTGAAGATGGATACTTTATTTGTTTTTGATTGTGCTTCTGCTTTAAGTGTTGAGATCTTAGGGTTAAAAAATTGAAGTTCATGGAGCTTTTTGTTAAGTGGTCCAGAAAAAGAAAAGGAAAATTGAAATGAAAATGTGGAATTCCGTTCTTTAATTTAGGCTTTTTTTTTTTATCAGTTCTTGAAAATTGCATTGGATAGGGACATTATCTGACTAGGTGCTTAGGTGAATATCAAATTGTCTTAGCCTAACTTTTGTGTGTACTTGAGATTTTCATCCCTCATATTCTTGTAGAAGTTTTTGGGGTTGGAATATGTTGCAATTTATCTCCTAGGTTTTTTTTATAGAAAAGTGGTATTTTCAATTAAGGTAGGTTGTTTTTAAGTTAATTTGTAAATTTAATGTGAAATTAAAATGACATTCATAATTTTGTGATTTTTGTTGTGTTATTTTGGTATAATATCTATTTATATATTTGGTTCCTTGCTCTTAGAATGAAGTTTACTTGATTTGTTGGAGGATTTTTGTTTCAAGTGGTTTTAATTTGCTTCAGGAAATTAGTGTCCTTAGATTCTCTCTCTGCATTGTCTCTTAATTGATATTAAAGCTTTACTTTTCCATGTGATGCTTTCTTGTGAAATGTAGTAACATGATATTACTTTATATGTGCATATACCTTTGAGCTCTTTACACTTAACCTGTTTTTGGTTTTGCATTCTGATTTGTGGTGGTTGTTTATTTCTGCTTGTTAAGTTTCATTGCTGTGTATTTCACATTCTTATATCACTTTTAAAGTAGAATTTTGAGATATGAATGTTTGTTTTTTGAACATAAACTTGCAACATCTGATCTTAACTAGGACAGGAGTATGCGTCTGAAGCATTGAGTCTATTGACTACTAAATTGGCTGTGTATGTTCATGTCCATATATAACTCTGCTGCTCTGTCATACATGTGATATCTGATATGCATGTTAAGTAAATGTTTTTAAACTGAAATATTGGCAATAGGTTATTAAGCCAATTTCGGAAGTTAGTTAATAATTCAATAAGCAATTACAGATATTGTATGGGAAAGAGTCTGTTCTTTTATTTCTGTTTTAGGAAAGTTGATTTCCCATATTAAAGATATATTTATTGTTATTAATTGCAGGAAATGTCAGCTACTGTCGTTGACAGTAATGATGCAGTCACTGGTCACATAATTTCAACTACCATTGGAGGCAAAAATGGTGAACCTAAACGGGTGTGGGCTTGTTTTCACCTTCTTCAATCTTAAATTCCAATTTCTAAAATCTGTACTTAATATAACTATTTACTTCCTTTATGGGGCATAAAAGAACTAAATTTTTGTATCGGGTATTATTGGTTAAATTTTTTTTTTTTTTAATTTTTTTTATAGAGAATCCATCTAAATATATAATACTAGCAGTCACCTAGAAGTTAGGTTATTTTCTCTGATCCTATCAAATCTAATAGGGTTTTCCCATTACCTTTTATGCCAAATAATTATTATTGGTTCCTCATATTTGGACCTTAAAAGGATTAATTTTGAAGAAATTCAATGTAATTGCAATGATGGTTCAATAATTATTGACGATAGCGTCTTCATGTTTCATTACTCCATTTATTCATAAGTTTATGCTTTATTACTACTTGCAGACAATCAGTTACATGGCCGAACGAGTTGTTGGCACAGGTTCATTTGGAATAGTTTTCCAGGTAAGGATAAGTAATAAACTTTAAGGTGATAACTCCTACTATGCTTTCTCTGTTGTCAAGTATCTAATATTTTCTCACATACCTGGGTTGTGCATCTACCTTTTTTACCTGAAACAAAGGCAAAGTGCTTGGAGACTGCTGAGGCAGTGGCTATAAAGAAAGTTTTGCAGGATAAGCGGTACAAAAATCGTGAGTTGCAGTTAATGCGCGTGATGGATCACCCTAATGTAATTTCTTTGAAGCACTGTTTCTTCTCTACAACAAGCAGAGATGAACTGTTTCTGAACTTGGTGATGGAATATGTGCCTGAGACAATGTACCGAGTTCTACATCACTACAATAATATCAACCAGAGAATGCCCCTAATCTATGTGAAATTATATACCTATCAGGTATGAAGTCTTCTCTATTTGCATTTTGGTTGGGTGTGTTGTTTCTCTCTTATTCATTTGAAATTATGTAATGATTTTGTTGGGATGTGATGTTTAGATCTTTAGAGGGCTGGCATATATTCATACTGTACCGGGGGTTTGCCATAGGGATGTGAAACCCCAAAATCTATTGGTAAGTTATTTATTTGCTATTTTTTCGTCGATGAGTTGGATTCTTTTATTTTAGACTTATTGTGTTTGTACCACAGGTTGATCCTCTCACTCACCAAGTTAAACTTTGCGATTTTGGAAGTGCAAAAGTTCTGGTATGTCGGTCTGCATTCTTTCTTGTGCATATTATTACTTTATATATGCATACTACCCTTTTAATGTTGGAATATGAAAGTCCTATGCTACCTACCCATTAATAATTGTAAAAAGCTCCTTAAGATATGATGAATTGATTTCTCACCTATGTAACTAGATTTTTCTTTTTGTTCAATTGATTCATGAATCAATTATTTTCAATTGTATATTTCAAGTGGTATTTTTTTTCTTCTTTTCCTATTTTTATCCAAAAATGGAAACTTAGGAAAGTGCTTTATAAACATATGTATAAAAAAAATATATTTCATCTAGTTTCCTTATGCCTATTATAACCAGTTATTTCGGTTTTCTTCTAGCAGTTTTAACTATAAACTGCAGGTATTTTATCAGTCTGAATAATATACGACTTATTGTCGATAAGTGCACTTTTAATTTTAAATTAGTGATAGTAGCATTTCAGTTAATATTCATTAAAATGTCAGTTTCTATTAACCTGGACCCCCTGTTTGTTATGTTTTCCTATCATTTTAATAAATCAAAAGTATATTAGTTGGAATCCGATGCCAATTTTGGTTCTGGCTATTTTTTTTATTGGTAAATGTTAGTAAATTAGTGGTTATCTTAGTTTCCAGGTTTTAATCCCAGTTCTCCTAGAACTCTTTCAGCATCCCTCAGCTTACCAACAACTGAGCTGCCTACTTAGGACTTTGCTTCTAGTTATTAGAGTAGGAAAGATAAAGTGTAATGATAATACTTTTATGCCAGGTCAAGGGTGAAGCAAACATTTCATACATATGTTCACGCTACTATCGGGCTCCAGAACTAATATTTGGGGCTACAGAATACACAACTTCTATTGATATCTGGTCAGCTGGTTGTGTCCTTGCAGAACTTCTTCTAGGCCAGGTTATTAAACTTTGTTGGAAACTTAATACATTAATATTTCTTGTACATAATAACTGTTTTCTCTTTGTCACGACTTATGAGAGAAGTTATCTTGACTTCTCATAGTTTCAAATATTTTTCAGCCATTGTTCCCGGGAACAAATCAGGTGGATCAACTTGTGGAAATTATAAAGGTAATGCATTGTCTATGTTGATGATGTCTTAACGAATCTAGTTACAAGGATGTTTTATTCAGACGTCTTCTTGTAGGTTCTTGGTACTCCAACTCGAGAAGAAATTCGATGTATGAACCCTGATTATACTGATTTTAGGTTTCCTCAGATTAAAGCCCATCCTTGGCATAAGGTAGTTGCATACTCTGCCAGCGCCCCTTTTGCTTTATTACAATGAGTTTTCTGGGTGCTGTTTTGTTTGGGTAATTGATCGAGTTGGCTGAATGATCCATGTTTCAGGTTTTTCACAAGCGAATGCCTCCTGAAGCAATTGACCTTGCATCAAGGCTTCTTCAGTACTCACCAAGTCTTCGTTGCAGTGCGGTAAGTAGGGAAACCCATACGAAATTATGATTAGAATTTAGATCTACATGCCTTAATCTGCCATATTTTAGTATAATAGTTTCTGCAACTTGCAAGTATTTTCACCAAGGGAGAATTCACTACTCATTTGTTGTAATATTATTCAAAAATTGCTCATGGATTTTATTAATCAGCTGGAAGCATGTGCACATCCTTTCTTTGATGAGCTCCGAGAGCCCAATGCTCGTCTTCCTAATGGTCGTCCTCTGCCTCCACTCTTCAACTTTAAGCAGGAAGTATGTATCTAATTTCCAAATCAGGCTCTTCTATTAATAAAATGTTTGGAACTGCGGTAGAAGGTCCTCAACAAAGAAGCTCCAAGTTATAGTTTATAAAACACTGCATTGAGGCTGTCATCGTGGTTCCAAACACATCGTATATCTGGTATTTTCGTGGCTTTTAAATTAGCTAATAAATCTGTTGCATGTGTAAACTATGACTGTAGTTATCTGGAGCATCTCCTGAACTGATCAATAAACTCATCCCAGAACATATCAGGCGGCAAACTGGTCTCGGCTTCCCATATCCCGGCTAGCACATATGTAAAGAGATAATGAAACAATGAGTAAACCCTTCTAGTGATTAATGTTAAACACAGGTCCCCTTTGTGGTCAATAGATTAGGATTCAGGCCCTATATATGAAGTTTTCCTCCAAACCCCAACCCAACCCCTTTCCTGAAGATGTATGTATACATGTACTGGCTCCTCAATGTAAGATGAAAAATGTTGTACCGTCTAATATTTCATTCTAGTTATAGCATGCTTACACCTTGCATTTTCACATTGTTATCGGTAGATTTCCATAAGCTCGGAGCAGTTGTAATTTTACTGTTATTGTCCCGCATTGGAATGGGTTATGTAGTGTTATATTTGTAAAAGGTCTTGCGTAAGAAGGTATCGTCTTGTCTCGTGGTCTTCCATCGCCCCTACATGAAAAACGTTGTCTTGGTGGTCTCCCATCGCGCTACATGAAAAACGTGGGATAAGGCTCTTGGGTAGAGAGAAATTCAACATCAATAAGTGACCTATGACTTCTTTGGACATAGACATTTAATTGTCCACCATTGATTTAGTGAACAGTGATCTATTTCAAAAAAATTCTAGGCCTTAGATGCCTCTTTAAATACATCTTCCATCAAAAAGAGAAGTGAGAGACACTAAGTGATATCCATTCTTTGCACCCTAAAGAGCACAATACATCTTCCATCAAAAAGAGAAGTGAGAGGCACTAAGTGATATCCATTCTTTGCACTCTAAAGAGCACAACATTCACTACTTCCATCAAAAAGAGAAGTGAGAGGCACTAAGTGATATCCATTCTTTGCACCCTAAAGAGCACAACATTCACTACAGTCTTAACACGTATATGTTAGTAACTATACATTTGCTATTATGCATGACGGTCATCATTAGAATTTCTCATCTTACTTGAGCAATAGGTCTCCTAAATCATCTCAAAACATTACGATACACAGCTTCTCGTCGTTGTGAGCAAATTCTAACTACTAAGGCCTATGAGTATCTCTGCCTTTGTAGAGGGAACATGAACACCTGTATTTTTTGACTAGTACAATGATTCCCACCGTGGGATCCCGATAAACCTAACATGAACCACACTCTTACTTTAAATCCTTCCATCTTTCCATTGAAGATGGTCGACAAAACCATAACATACAACATAAGCACCATCACCTGAGGCTTTACTGGTGGAGGTAACTCTATATCTTCTCGGAGGAAATACGCAAGACAAATGTTTCTGACAAATGTAATATCTCATGGCTTCCCTAGAAATTCCCAAAGAAAAATATAGGTTAATATCATATTCTCTGAGAAGGACGCCCTCGGTCCCAACCCTTACGATGATGATCCTCTGGTCATCACTGTGCAATAGGGAAACTTGGACATCAAACGTGTTGTGATAGACCCTGACAGCTAGCTGTATTAACGTCCTGTTTTGGGACGTCTTCTAGAAACTGTAACACAACCCGAACGTCATAAAAACGTTCAATAGTTCTTTGACAGGGTTATTAGACGAACATGTGCAAATAATGGGTCACCTAACCCTGGAAACTACATGTGGTGAGGGAACTGACGCCAGGACGATTGACGTTAGCTACCTCATTCTAGAGGCCCTATCACCTTACAACATCATCCTTAGGCGGTTGACTATCAATGCTCTTAGAGCAGTCATATCCACTATGTACCTGACCTTGGAATATTCACTCTCCGATGAGCGAGTCAGTACAATCTAAGGGGATCAGCAGGCGACTCGCAAATGCTACCTGAGTAGCCTGGAGACAGCCAGAGAAAAATTCGCCCTTGTTGATGTTCCCCTTTCAAAAGTTACAAATACTTACTTTGAGTGTTGAGACCCCAGATTGGAAGTTGAGGCGAAAAGACTCACTCCCGCAGGAGATTTGAAGGAGGTCTAGTGTTCGAATCGTAGTTAAAGGGGAGTTTTAGTTATCGTCTCCACATTGAGGATATTTTAATGCTTGCCTTTCAACAGTTTATCATTTCAAGAATAAGGATTTTCAAAGTTTTGTTCATAAAATTGTCACGTTTTTAGTAGCAAAGCTTATAAATTCTAAAGATTTTTGTTAGCAAAGTATATCAAAATTAGTTTTCATCTACCCTAACTTATACGTATTCTTTCAATCTTGTATGTGAAGTCAGACCCGATTAATATCGTCACGTATTCTCTCAACACCATCTATGTCTAGAGCGGTGTCGTGAGAAATACTGTATTCATCGCTACACAATTTCTCCATATAACAACCAATATAGTAAGCTTTAAGTTCAACACAAAGCAACTATAGACCATAGACCGATTTCTCCAATCTATAAACCGGTAGATGAATATTTTAGGTCAAGTTTTACAAAATCTATGTCTAGAATTTTATAAAACAAGAATGGATCATTAAGAACAAAAATATTCATCATATATTAATCATCACTTGTTCACATACAATGCCAATCAAAAGAAATACATACAAGCTAATGGTAGACTACCTCTACCTTTGATACAAAGGAAATTAACTACCCATAACCATGGTAGCTTGCTTTATAACTCTTGGAAGAAGATGAATGAGCATCCACGTCGAAGAATCGAACTCGAATGCGAATCCAGCTTCTATTTGCAAAATATCACCTTTTGGTGAAGAAATGCTGAGAAATGAAGTTCTTGTGTGTAAAAATGGGTTATGATCCCCAAAAATAGTGAAAAGTACATATATAGTATTTTTAGAATCTGTCATGTTCGCACTACGAACACCTTTTTAGGCACCTGAAGTGCCTCTGAACAGTTAAACCGTCCCTGAGAAATATCTGATCGCACTGCGAACTACCTCGCTACAAGTTCGCACAACAAACTTAGGGTCCTTTAGCTACTGACTTCAGTCTGGGATGGTTCGCTGACCCTTTGCTAAAACTTTGCCTCATCGAACATTCTCTACTTGTTCACCCAACAAACTTACTACCCTTTTCTTACTGCTATCTTTCTTAGATGGTTCGTTGGGACTTCACCATGAGTTCGCACAGCGAACATTTGCTGGCACTCCTCGTTGGCAGCTCGCACAATGAACATGATTAAATTCTTCTTTTCCTTTGACTTCCTTGTCCAATTGCTCTTGTCTTATACTTTGATGTTTTTATGCCTAATTTCTGTACAATAACATACAATTCAAAGCAACCAAAGGTATTTTCAACAATATTGAAGAATAACATGATATCATGGAGTAAATCCAACAACGCAACATAAAAGATTTGAAACATGCCAATAAATAAGAATCAAATGAAAGCAAGTTTGGCATTCAACATCTAAATAGGTCCCCGCACCTATCAGGTAAAAAAGATAGGTACATTTCTCATTGTGGAGGAGGAAAGGGAATTAATCGACCTACTCATTCGACTTGTTCGCCTAGGCTCCATCCGATATGCCAAGAAAAGACACCAAAGTGGTGAGTCATTGCCTTGCGATATACCCTTCCGTCGAACCAGTGGCGCACAAGTAGCGGAAAGTTGGCGAGAAAGAGAGGTCTGCCATTGATGAAGAGGTGTGAAAGCTATCTTACATCGAGATTATCACGTAAACGAAGTATCCCACCCGACTGGCTAACGTGGTCCTAGTACAAAAAGCTAACAATAGGTGACACATGTGCGTAGATTTCACATGTATGATTGTCGTCTGTCCCAAATGTAACACCCCAAATTTTAATTGGAATATTTTAATTAATTGATTTAATTGAGAATACTCTATTTCGGTGTTTTTCGGTGGCTTTGTGAATTATTGAGGAGTTATGCTTTGTGGAGTATTTATTTTGGAATAATAGTATGTAATATGGATTTATTAATAGTATTATGAATTAAAATAAATATAAGAGAAATAAGGGTAATTTGGGCATTTGGAGGAGTTAGTAAGGGTAATGAGGGAAAAGCCCAATTTGTGAGGCCCAAGACTAGGTTTGGCAAAATTGAGTTCTGAAGGGAAATTAGAATTCATTTGTGTTAACCGTGAAAGTTTGGTGGTCAGAGCTCTGAAGGAAAGGTTGGAGGCAGAAGATCCCAAAGTTAATCGTGAAAGCTGCGAATCAACTAAGGTATGGAGAGTATCCCTGTTCATGATTTTCTATGTATGCCTTTAGATGTGTTTATGGTTGGTTTATGATTTAAGGTATTTTGGGGTTGATTTGGGAGAATTAGGGAAATTAACTGTACGACTCTGAGATTATGGCTAGTGGTATGTAACACTGAATATTGATAGGAGAAAGGGAAACCTTAGGCCTTCGTGGCCAAAACCTTGGATTGTTATATGTTTAACCCTGTAGGAATAGAAATGTTCAAATGTGAGTAGCTCTGATGCACTCAGAGCAATTGCAGGGAAATAGTGATTTAGGAAGTGCAAATGTTGTCGGGTTGGCCTAACAAACCATAGATTTTGTGCCGTTATCGCCGTATGACCTTAGGAATGATTTAGGGATGTTTTGGGGGCATGGGGTGTGTGAATCGTATGAGTTTTTGGGTAGAAACCAGTTCCGTGCGTAGCAGATGTTTGCTGTCATCACACTGTTGTCCTAGCGAGCATGCCAGCGAAGACTCGCCACAAACTCGCCTAGCGAGCATGCCAGCGAAGACTCGCTACCGACTAACCTAGCGAGCAAGCCAGCGAACGTAGCAGAGTTCACGAAATTTGATCGTTTTGCAGCGATGCCTTGATGTTTGATTTTGAGATTTCTGAGATGAGTTAACATGAGTATGACAGTGAGGAATTATGTGATTGATAGGCGATAGTGTGAGGATTACCGCGAGTATAATTGGAGGAATTAATATGAGATAATATGGGGTAGTATTATGAATTAGTATGTGATAATATATGATAATATGATGGGCTAACATGAGGATGACTATGAGCTAATATGTGATTGGTACGTGATTATTATGATGAATTATGTGATAACAAGAGATATGATGAATTATGTGATGATGATGATTATTATGATGCATTATGTGATAACAAGAGATATGATGAATTATAT